TTATTTTGATTCTAAATATAGGAGTTTAATTTAATCTATTTTATTTTTCAAATTTATAAAATTTTAGCCCAATTATTCAGATTAATTACATGTATTAAAGATAGCTAGTTTTCAGTATTGGGTAGTTTTCACTGAAAATGGTTAAAGAGGGTATCTTAAAAAACGAACACAAAGCATTTTTTTTTTTATAAATAACTAACACCGATTTTTTTTTCAAAGAAACATTAGTGACATGGTCTTTATTTGGCAAGAGAACAGATATGTATTTATTAGTGCAAAACATCACATCTTAGCAATAGGAAATTAGCGGTGACGGAATTAGTGGGAGAAAAAAAAATTTCACCCCTATATTGCTTGCCACTAAATTTTCCATCACTAATCGGGAATGCTTTAAACATATAGCATATAAACACAACCTAGAGGTTAGGATGATATTGATGCCAATGCCAGATAACAAATAAAAGAGAGAGAGAGAGTGTAGCGGCTAATTGAGACTCGCATAGGGTTTGAATTGTTAAAACCTAAAATGGGGTCATACAATAGATGCGTTACGCACGTGCACAGAAAAAAAGAGAGAGAACCAGAAAACTCAACAATTAGAGCAAGGAATAACTAGGAGGCCGGGCATTCCTTTTTTGTGGTGTCAGGGTGATGATATATTAGAAAAGTGTAAGCTAGCTAATTAAGGGTCATTTGGTTCAATGCCATTACAAGTGTATAATGGTAATTCTCATTCCGTTATCATAAATAGCCAATTTAATTAGGCTGAATGATAGTAAAAAGGATTATATACTCGTGAAAAGAACTGTGCATTTTTTCATCATGTCTATTTTTAGGAGGCCTCCTATAAGAATACTCATTGTAGGTTCGCAATTATCTGTAAAATGTCTATTTTATCTCTGCTGTGAAAGGATAATAAACATATGATTCAAGTCCGGTTTGGTATAAATGAAGGAAAGGAATCCTAGCACTTTCATGGCATGAAAATTAAGACGTGTAATGTCTAATTATATCCATGTAATCATTGCCAAAGGAAAAATATCTACTGCCTCTGGCTTTTTAATTTCAATTCATATGCAATTTAATTTTTGGAAAAATGGTAAAAAAAAAAAAAGACCGTAAAAATTTAAAAATTGCAGACAGGGACCTGTTCACAAAAATTGTTGCAAAAATTCATACTAATATTATAATATGTTTCTATTTATAATTTTTGCAGCCTGTTTCTGCGATTTTCTCTTGATTTTTTTAACAGAAAGTTGAGCGGAATGGGGCCGCGTGAAAAATTTAACATTTGCTAAGAGGAAACGCGCAAGTAGGTTCTGTCACATAGCTTTATTCCCAATTAAATCCCTCATGGCTTTGACACCCTTAGCCTCCTCAGGCTTTTGTTACAGAAGCAACGGAAAGAACAAAGCAAAGAGCAGATAAAGCTATCTTCCATCAGGTAAAATAAAAGCTGCTTTTTTGCTTAGCTTCTTTATCTTTTATTTTGCAGATACTTCATCATCTTCTGCTGTAAATAATAATGGTGTTTCTGTATTGTTCAAGTGTTTTTTTAATGCAAATTGTTCAAGTGTTTTACTCTTGAATTTCTTTCCTCTCAATAAATAACTATATTTTTTCATTTTATTGTACTATTTCTTCTTCCAGCTGGGTTAAGTTTATAATTTCATCAAAAACTATCGCCAAGCTCTTTCAAATATAAATGATTCAAATCATTATAATCTTCTGTATATGCATAATATTCAAGATTCGTTATATTCCTATTATCAACTACACTACAAAAAAACATGCTGTCACTAATTGGATGATTAGCGACAGAATTCCACCTCATCGCTGGTAATGGCTGCCAACTACCTCCACTGTCGTTGCCACATCATCTTACATTCCACCTTGTGGCCTCACATGTTGACACCACATAATTCTTCATTAGAGTGACTTTTTCATGACTCAAACCCGGGATTTCGTCTATATGAGCATGCGGCTTTAATAGTTCAACTACAATGAATTTGTTTACTTATTATGCAAAATTAAATATAAATATATATAATATTTTTTTATACAAACAATTATATATACATATATATTATTAAAAACTAAAAGTAAACTATATGATAATTTTAATTATAACTATTTTAATGACAAAATAATTTTTAAATATTGGTTTACTATTTATTTTATAATGTTTTATTTCTTCATAAATATTTTTTTAAATTTAATTTTTAATTAACATTGATAAGATATATAATTTAGTTATATATGTATTATATTAAATTATATTATATAGATATATGTGTTTTATATATTTGATGAAAACCATTTATAATTAGTAAAAAAATCTTGTTGTTCAAAAAATAGCTACTATAATAAAATATAATAAATTATTATATATAAAAAAATTAAATAATTTGAATAGATTATGATAAACAACATTCTCCTACTTATATATATATCCTATATAATTTATTTTCTTAAAATTCTTTGTATATATCATTTGTTTTTGTATTGAAGACCAAAATCAATCTATATTATGGGTATTAATTTTGTAGTGATTAAATTTCATTGTTTAATGATTGAAATTCAAGATTTACTTCAATATTAGTTTGATTTATAATCATAAATTGAGGTGTTCATATAAATTCATTTTTCGGTTTTGAATTTCTATTATTTATTACATCTTTCAATATATTGTATATATGATAAAATTATTTCTTTCTTATATCAGTTTGTATAAGAAGTTATTAATATTCTTATTATATTTTTTTAATTATTATTAATAATTAAGAGGAATTGATTTTCATGAAATATAAATAAGTTTTCTAAAAAATTGTCTTTCTATTCTCAGTATGTATTTAATAATGGCATGAATGAAGATGATACCTTTATTAACACCAACTTCACAAATATATCAATTTATTTTACAATTGAAAATATATTTAAATCATTATATTCTTAATTATGTTATTATATAAATTGCTGTAAGGTTATAATCTAAAATAATGAAATTTAACATTAGTGATGGATTAGCAACGGAATATAATTAGCGACAAAATTAGTGACAAAAACTTCCGTGACAAAAAATTTAGCAGTGGAATTAATGATGAAAATTAGCAACATAATTTTTCCGTTACTAAAAATTTTATAATTAAAAGTAGTGACGGAATCAGCGATAGAAATTTTCAACAGAAAAATTCCATCTCTAAATATTTACTGATAAATTTCTTGACAGATTAGCAATAGAATTTAGCGATGGACAGAAATTCCATTGCTAATCTGTCACTAATATTAGCTACTGAAAAATTCTCTCGCTAATCCGTCACTAAATTTAGCAATAGAATTTTCATCGGTAATCTGTTAGAAATTAGTGATGAAATAATTTTTCGTCGCTAATTCTGTCAGTAATAAGCTGTTTTTTTGTAGTGTAGTTGAAAAAACTTATTGGCTAAAATTTCCCTTTTTTCTTTTCAATCGAATTCAAGGTATGGAGGATAATCGCACACAGAACTTCATGATATTTCTCATATTAAATAAAGATTTTTATATCTAAAGAAATAAATATTTTACTATTATGAAACACCCACACACATCATGCATCATCATATCAAATAATTTGATATAATAAATTTATGGAGATAAAATCTCTGGGAGGGAAAGCTACTTCCACCATAAAGATAGAATATTGCTCAACTGCAAAAAGAAAAAAAAAATTCCATGGGTTTGGCGAAGTCATTTTAGTGAACTTCGTAGAAATTTAAAATCATGTGCCATTTTAATATTAGGAGTATGCAAGATGAATTTATATTAAAAAAATTTCTTAACATCCTTTATTCAACTGATGGACTCATGTATCTATCGTGCTCATAGAGGGCTGAACTCTTAACCTCTTGCTTAGGTCAAAAAATTAAGAAGGTACCTAGAATCGTTTAACCCAAGCAGCTCTGGCATAATTATGCAGTAATTATGATCAAGAAGGCGATGCAATCCATGAACCAGATAAAGTATATATAAATGAGTGTTACACCATATAGTTAAGGAGGATTAAGTGAGTTGAAATGAAAGTCCAATAAATGGGAGTTGTTAGGGTTGGATAAGCATTAAAAGACAATTTTTAATCATTTAATTTGCCTATATCCCATATAAGGACATGAATTTAATTTACTGCGATAACTAAATTTCACTATCTGAATTACTTTTTTGCAATTATAGTGACAGTTTATAACATCCTAATTACCCCTCTTTCTCTTAGTCCTCACTCCAACAGGATTGAATTTACTCTTACGGCAACCCAACCAAACAGTGAAGCTATAATACTAAGTCACCATAAATTTTAAAATCTATCTCTAGTCTAATTGTTTGTGTCCGTCTCTCTAGACCTAGACTCATTCTTCACCTCTCATTCCATTGAGTTTACCCAATACTTAATTAGGTATTATGATAGTGAGTCACAAAATCCACATGAAACATGAGAGAGATAAATATAATTTAAACGCAGAAATATTGATATAAATAAATAATCATGTGAAGTTTAAATCTAAAACAAAGAGCACTCAATAATGTCCCCAAAGCCAATCTATTAAATATGAGGAATACATAAATATTTGTCCATAACTTACCACTAGTACCCAAAAAAAAAGTTAGTATGATGACTTCGCAATCAAATCACTTTTATTTCAGAAGCAAATACCTGAAAATATACGTGCATCCATACAAATACGCGCTGAAGTGAAGTCGGGAAAAACCTAAGCCCATATTAATTAATGATAGAACACTTCTGGATGCTGCAATAGCAATCGAATGGCCCACTGTACTTCCTGAATGAGAGTGACTTGGACTTGGACTCACAAGACTACAGAGGAAACACTACATTCTGTTTTGCTGCTTTAGCAGGAAACAAGGAGATTGTTAAGTTAATGTTAGAAAAGAATCATTTCTTGCCAAAAGTTAGAGGTGGAAAGGGTTTCACTTTACTTCACGTTGCTGTTTTTCAAGGAAGAGTTGATATGGCTTGGTATCTATACTGTATGATTACTGATATTCTTAATGAAGCAGAACAGAACAAGTTGTTCCTGATCAATGGCATCAACTCTGCTGTTTTTGGTAAGCATATGTTGCCTATATATGAAGCATAAATACTCTTACTATGAGTGAAGTATACGTAGAGCAAGAAGGTTGTTTCCAATGCAAATTATCAAAAGACGCACCTTTTTTTTATTTTTATAAATAACTGACTTGACTAATTTTCTTTATCTTTACAAATTTGTTATCTAACTCCTATACTAAAAGAAGTAACATTTTTATTTGAAGTATTTGAGCTTGATGTGCGCGCACGCGTGCGTGTATGAGAGTACTGTTTCCTGTACGTTAAACTACATAATAATGTCCATTTTGGAAATTTCATAGACCTAAGGATAGGCCACAACTAGCATTGTCAAAAGACGGGAATGGTACAACAGGTTTGCATACCTTGGCTCTAAAGATAGCAAATTTGAGAAGACATAATTGTGAACGTCAAAATCAACTCATAAGTTCAGGTAATTAGCCATGTACTTCTTAGAAAGACCAGAAAATTGGTATATAATAAATGCTTAAAGATTATTGTGACTAACTTCAGCTTTTTGGCTTATTCAATTCTTCAAATTATGCGTCCTAGGTGTGAAGCAAGGTGTTGCTCTTCAAGTTGTTGATTCCTTGTGGAAAGGAATTCGCCACCAAGTATTAGATATTAGGAGAATCATAAATGAACCATCACGGCTATTGTTTGATGCTGCAAAAGTTGGAAACTTTGACCTTTTGGCTGAGTTTGTGAAGTCTTATCCCTGCTTAATATGGGAGTTGGACAACAAAAGGAGAAGTATAATTGCAATCATCTTCATTAGTAACTATGAAATGTTTTAAATGATCTCATAATTGGAATATACAAATGAATTAATTTATGAACAACCCTTTGATATGGCAGGTCGTTAGGAAAATCGTGTTGCCATCATATATGCAGAAGAAAAACTAAGAAGATGAAACTCCTCAGGAGTTGTTCACAAAGGAACACACTGCTTTACGAAAAAATGCCGAGTCTTGGATGAAGAGGACATCTGGTTCTTGTATGGTTGTTTCAACTCTCATTGCCATTGGAGTATTTTCTGCTGCATTTAACATAATAGATGGTACTAATAATGATACAGGAGTTCCAAATTATTTGCGAAAACAATCATTTATGGGTATTTGCACTGATGTCATCTGCATCCTCCATATTAGTTTTCTTCTCCATTCTTATATCATGTTATGCAGAGTATGACTTTTACAAGTCTCTACCCTTGAAGTTAATTTTTGGATTGGTAAATCTTTTCATCCCCATAACAAGCATGATCATAGCATTCAGTAGTGCATTCTTGGTTACTTATGATCATGGCTTAAAGTGGGTTTCTAGCTTCATTTCTTTGCTTTCATTTCTACCAACAGTCATATTTTTATTTCTGCAGTTTGAACTTTTTAATGATATTATTTACTCAACATATTATTTGAGGTTTTTATTCCGGCCAAGCAAGCATATGCTTTATTAGAAAATAAAGGCCACGACGTTGTATCTACGTGTATTATGCTTACTTCAACTTGTAATATCTTTTAGTTTTTCATTTCGAAAGTATATGAATTCTATTGCATGTAGACTTTTCCTACAAATAACATAATATAATATTCATGTAGACTTTTCCTACAAATAACATAATATAATATTGTAAGGACAGTAAAATACTTGGCCACAAATATCTTAGAGTTGCGTGCAATTCCAATTTGCAGCTGATGGCAATCAACTTGACAACACTGAAGAAGTTTATAAAGTTTAAAGTCGCTTTATAAAGAAAATAGGGACTATGCCACGTATGCAACAACGACCAAAATATGCAAATGACAAAATTTACTGCGGAATGGCCCAATGCAATGGGTTTAGAAAGTTTTTTCTTCAAATTGTTTTTAAATGACCTTATTAATCCTCATGTTTTAACCGATAACTGTCCTGTTTAATTCATGGTTGTATTAACTTTAACTTCTATTTTTTTATATTAATACTGAAGTTGAACTTCCCTTAATTGTCGCTTTGGGGTTACTCCAAAAATTAACCGAATTAATGCAATATAGTGCACAACCCGGGTCGTTTCACTTTGAGGAGCCGAAAACGAAATTAAACCCTAGTGAATAAATGCAAGTAACCTAAACTATAAAAAGAGATTTTTGATTTTGAAAAGCTGTTAATTAAATACTACGATCAAATTGAAATTAAAATACTTTTTTTTTTGTTATTTTCTTTATATAAAAGATGATTGAAATAACTGAAGATGAAAGAAATGAAAATGAGAGACACAGATAACACTGATAAAAATCAATCCTCCAATTCAACAATACAGGCAATCATCACTCTAAAAGATGTGGGAGTTAAAAACAATGAATTAAGAATTATAATTAAGCTTTTGATCCAACAACCGAGCCACCTCGAGTTGCCACAAAATATTTTCCTAAAATCCCAACTTACTAACTGCAACCAGAATAGTAAAATGGGATTAAGGATGCTAAAAACCAATGCTTAATTAGAACTCTTAAATTCAAAATAACAGAATTAAAGCTAGCAAGAGACTATATGATCCAAAATTCTAAGCCACCTTAGAAAATCACAATATATTAATTCCAAAATCAATACAAATGTCATAACCACAACATTATAATTGAGATCAAAACTATAAACAGCCCAATGTCAAATACTAAGCAATAATTCAGTCACAATAATCCCCAAATATAATCAGATTAAGCAATACAATTATCCCAATAATTAGAAAAACTATCCTAAGACCTAGGAATTGTTAAACAATTATTGAGTAAGAAATTAAAGTAACTAGAACTCCCCCTTGAAGATCCAAGCTCCTGCCATTATTGTTGAATTGGAGAATTATAGATTCTAGCCTCGGTTTGCCATAAAAAATGTCATATTCAGAATTTTGCAGTCAGCCATGGAAGAACGCAGCGTGAATCCTTTCCTCCGTCGTCAAGCTCGCGCTGTCCAGGTCTCTGTTTCGTTTTATCCTCCTTAGGCGTCCGCGTGTGTAGCTTCCGGGTCTCCTCTCTGTTTCGTCCAGCCCTGTGTCTGCCTCCAGCTCGCTCGACGTCGTGTTCAGCTTCGTGTGTGCGTCTCTCTCCGTTATTTCCTTCTCTCAGCCGCCGTCGAACTCGCTGCCACCAGTAAGAAGATGACGATGATGATGGTTTTGAACGGAGATGGGAAAGGTGATGATGAGGGATGGATGAGTCTGCCTCTCCACGCCGTCGAGCTCGTCCAGCCTTCTTCGTGTGTTGCTCTGTTTCGTTTTCTTCCCTCTGCCGCGCCCTGCTCTGTTTCTTTCGGCGCCTTCGTGTGTGTGTGTTCCCTTTCGTTCGGCCGCCTGATGATGATTATTAGGTTGGGGCAAAACGCAACGTTTTGCCCCCAACTTAATATTATATTTTTTTTTTAATTTAATTTTTTTTTCTTCTTTATTTTTATTTTTTTTTTATTTTTGAATCTTCCAAGAACCTGCAAGCAAAATTCAAGGATAAGGTAGCATTGATTGTCCTTAAAAATCAATTAATCATAATTAAATCAAAACATGACAATTTTGCCCCTATAAAATAATAATTAAAATAAAACAAAATAAATCATTTAAGGCAAAAAGGAACCAATTAAGCTGACAAAACTCATATAAAAGATACCAAAACATATAAAAATAATTGAGTTTGTCAACTCCCCCACACTTAGCCTTTTGCACTCCTGGGCAAAACTTGATTAAAGAAGAATCCAATAGAGACACTCAATGCAAGCAAACATAAAACTAACTAAGCATGAATGTGCAATTAACTCAAGCAACCTTTATTCTTGATTAATCAACAATCATAGAATACTTCAGTGCAAAGAAATTAACACAAGAAACATAGCAGGATAAAAGAAGAGAAACATAATAGAGCTCACATAGGGTACAAGTGTTTCACTCATCTCTCAAATGGGAAAAATTTCACTCAATTCACCTAGATTAGCACCTACCATAAGCTTGTAGAGATTCTAATATCTCCACTACTAACATACCTTAGAGTCATGATCAAGGGGACTTGAAGGGTTGTAATGTTGGAAACTATGGCCAATGAATGAAATGGACTAACAAGTGAAATGCATGAGTAGTAAATATCAACTCAAAGTGAGCTAAAGTACAATCATGAAACAACACCAATGTGCAGATTTTAACCTTTTGAGACAGAAATCTTTGCTCTTCAAACCACCATGGAATGCCTTATTTCAAATTTATTCTTTTGTTGCAACTTATTTTTTTTTCTCTTTTTTTTTTTAATTTTTTTCTTTGGCTTTTTCTAAACATTTTCTTTTTTTTATTGCCTTTTTCTATTTCTTTTTCTTCTTCTTTTTTTTTTGTTTGGCATCCAAACCCAAGAAGGCAAAGATATAGACTTTAATGATGTACTTTTCAAAATAAAAAAAAAAAATCCAAATGTAACTCATGCAAAACACTTGCTTAAAAAAAATGAATGGAATGAAAGTGAAGGCTCAAAGGGGTGAACAAAGGTTAAATGAAGTGGTTTGTGTTTGGGTAAAGGTTTAGAAATGAATGCCCCTATCATCTTCACAAATCTAGGTATTAATGCAGCTTTGAAAAAGAATCTAGACAAGTTCTAGAGGTTAACCAAAACTAGGTAAAATCACACAAGATGAGAAAATATATGGCTCAACAATCCTTCCATCAAGGCTTTCTCCAAGATGTTTCCTCCTTAAGTATCAAGCTATGAAACAAGGTTAATAACACTGCACCAAAGGCATTCTACTATGCTAATCAACTAAGAACAGAAATCACTTAAATCAAATGCAATCAAACTCAGCCGTGCAACATTCACAAGCATTGTGCAAAAAGATTTTAAAAGAGATGCCCAAGGATTACAAAAGTCAAGAGTCAGCAACAGAGAGAAACAGCAACTCGCCCATACAGCAGTGCAGAGCACTGAGGCGAATGAAAATAGGAGGACACAGAAACTAGCAGCAAAATTCCCAAGCAAGAATCACTCTCAAATCATGCGATGCAATTCAGAAATCAACCAATAGGCAGAGAAGAGAGCAATTATAGCAGCAATACTTAGGAAACAGGAGCAAATCCAAAGGCAAAATTTTTTTTTTTTTCAAAAGAAAGCTCAACAACTCAACAACAATCCCTCCCCCACACTTGATCAATACATTGTCCTCAATGTTAAGATAATGTGAAATGAAAATAGACAAATATAAATCAAGTGATCAGAAGAGATGGCAGAATCAAGAGGAAACAAAACAAACAACTACTAAACAGAAATAAACAGCTACAACTACAGCTAATGGAAAAGTTCCCTCCCCCACACTTACTCCTAACTATCTCAGCAAACAGATATCACCAGCAATACAACATAAAGTAAAAGAGTAGGGTGGAAGGGAACAACCGGGTGATCAGGGAGGTCTGTGATTCTCATGGTAGTGCTTCAGTAGATGGCCGTTGACTTGTGAAGTTATACCGGTCTCCTCATCTACGAGCTCTACCGTGCCAAAGGGATATACTTTAGTAACTCTAAACGGACCTTCCCACTTGGTGACAAACTTCCCGGGCATCAGCTTCAACCGGCTTTAAACTTTAGAACCTTGTCACCTTCATGAAACTGCTTCCTCAGAATCTGTTTGTCATGAATCATTTTCAGCTTGTCTTTGTAGATTCTGGCATTGTCGTAGGATTCAAGTCTCATCTCTTCAAGTTCCTGGAGTTGCATCTTCCGATTGATAAGTGAAGATTCGAGATCTGCATCACATGCCTTGAT